AACAAATTATAAAAAACGTAACTCGATACACTAAGCCAAAATCCTTGCTTAGGTACTAGAGCAAGGAGTGCGACTGAACCGCAGAAAAATAGGCTGAGCTAAGGGTGAACTCAAATATTGCTATTCATATGATTAATACTTAGCATGTGCATAAATCTTTGCAGGACTTGGACCTATAATACTGCATGTTATAATAAGAGGAGCTTAGGCCCCTTTGTATTTTGAAAGAGCACTGCCTGTGCATACCATTATAAACTATCTAAGGGTCCTGGTGCACTAAGGATTAAGCTTCTGCTGCAGGTACTATGTATTTCATATCAATATTTTCCTTTACACATATGCTTATAAAAAGCTGCTATTGCAGCCTTTCTAACTGCTACTTTTCAAGCTTAAAAAGAACCAACTCACAATAAGGACTAACTACTTTGGAGAACCAACATGGTTTAGTTCAATGGTGTCCAACCTTCTCAGCCAGAGTGTCAGACATATTATTTCAAGAAGGTCAAGGAGTCACAACAATACTTTGGGGAAGATTCTGCCCTGGCAGAGGTGGTGTGTGAAAACCTATGAATCTATAGTGAAGACAGAAATGCACATTCTTCCAAATTAAATCAGTTTGATGCAGTTCCAGTTCTGTGAAATGGTCCTTCAGTTTATAAGTGTTCAGAAGATGGCCTCTTTTAAGGCAATATGATCTATAAAATATGAAACATTGATTCCATGTTTGTTACATGCATCAATTCTAGGCTGCTAATGATACATAATATCAAGCATTCAACTATTGGTTTCAGAGTAGCAGCCATGTTAGTCTGTATCCACAAAAAGAACAGGAGTACTTGTGAACTACTGTGACACATGAGACAATAGGCCAAGAGCAGTTCTCTTGTTCCAGTTTGGTCAGCCTGAGATGAAAGTCCAACAACTTCATTTCTTGTCAACAGAAGAGACAGGAACTCTTTCCAGCCCATGAGACAATGCACTTCAAAGCAAGGCACTTCTGCACCACCTCTGAAGAGAAGAAAGTTGGTCAACTTGTGCTTTAAGAGAGGATTTGCTTTGAACAGTCTTAACTGGGTCCATAATGGTGGATATTTTCCCACTCATTTCTCTCACTATCAGTTATTTCTGAAAAATACAACCTCCTATTAATCTTTGCATCACTACAGTATTTTAAAAGAACTTCCTTGATAAAAGTAGTCTGAGCTCTGTTGATATAACTTTGGCAGTAATTCCTCCTGCAGATTTGTTCCAGTACTTTGCAGCACACATTTTTTCCAAGGACTCTTGTATGTGGAGGTGTTAATCTATATGCAGAATTCATTAATTTGAAATCACTCCATTGGCAAAAGTTATCAGTCTCAGTCCAACTCCACACGAGGCCGCACATGAACAGCATACACAAAACACAGGATTTGCAATCAGTCTGCCATTTCATATTTTTTATTAAAACAGTCCCTCTTTCTATTCTCTCCTCTCACCCTGATCTCCGCCCACCTCGTCATGCACACTAGTCATCTCCCAGTTTTAGAACATGCTGGCTTGGCTGACTTATCTAGACAACTCTGAGCCAAAAGGTGTAAAAAATTAGACACCAGACCAGACTTACAAAGGTATTTAGGCATCTAAAGAGGTAGACAGAAGCCCAGTGGGATTTACAAACGTGATCATGTGAGCTAGCACCTACCTCCCATTGACTGCTTAGGGGCCTTTGTAAACCTCACCCTGCATGAACTAGAGTTTCCTGGGTTTTCTTGTGAAAAAAAAGAGAACAACTATTTTTAACAATGTTTGTGTTTTAATCAAAGATTAGTTTCTTACCTGTAAAATTTGAGTTTTGAATCTTAGATCCCCCAGTCTGGAAGTGGTAACTTACCTCACAATGCATCAATGCCAGCAGTATCCAATAGCAGAATAAGACTTATCACACTGGATCTCAACCACAGCTACCAACTGCTTCTCCAGTTGACACTTCCTTAGCTACAAGGAAGTAAACAAAAACAATCTCTCCCCCCAGTAAGACTCCTACTTAAATATAAATTAAAAAAAAAGGGAGGGGGGAGAGATTTTCAGACCAGTGGATCTGAGATTCAGAAGCCAAATTCAGCCTTTCGGTACCAATCTGGAACTAAGGGGTCTTTAGAGAAATAGCTTACCTAAATACAGAATAAGAGGAAAATGAACCACCACTATAAAGACCTTTGGCCCATCGTAGCACCAACCAAGGTGAAGGTGTGTGCCTAGGTAGATGCTTTGCAAATTTCCCCCTGCTCACTAGACAGCCTGCATCCTTATGGAATGATCTTAAATCTTGATGGAAGGGTGCACCTTCTCGTGCCTTTATGCCTATCTAAAGTAGGCCCCAAAAAACCTAAAATTTTTAGGAAGAAATCTAGGAAAAGAAAAACCATAAAACAAACAAAAAACCAATTCATCTGGAAGAATTTCCACAAGAATGTTCATCTTAAAACAAGGGTGCCAATCTTTAAACAAAGAATTTTAAAGAAAGACGGACAATAAAGTAGCATTTCATTGATTAATTAAAGATCCAAGGGGGCTGATAGTTGCTTATTTAGAGATCTAGTGAAAGAAGCAAAATATTAAAGGGAAACAAAGTTTGCTCTCCTAATACCACCTATTACCGACACTGAAAGAGGAGATAAGGAAGGTTGCTATAGGAAGAAAGTTTACATGTTAGTAGAGTTGGGAGTGTTTTCCAGTGTACTATTCGGTGCAATCCAAAACAAGAGATTCCTGTACCAGCTCTGAAATGAAAAACATCCATTGTTCTGATCATGTTCCTCTTTCAAGGGAAGAAGTAGCATTTCATTGTGACTAAATAATCATTGGCACAGAGATTGGTATCCTTGTTCCAGCCTTGTTCAGCGAGTTGGTCTGTTACTATTCTCAGTTTTCTACTGCATAGCACAGCTGGAGAGATTCAGGTTTCTTTACATCAGAGTAATCAGAAACTGAGTTTCCCACATTAAAATGTCATTTTCAGCCTCTTGTGTGTTCAGGTTACGCCCAGGACCTCTTGTAACTTCAAATCTTTGTTGAAAAGTCTCAGAAATGTCCTAGCACTCCCAAGCTAAAAGCTTATGTCTGTATTTTAGCAAGCCTCCTAATTCAACCAGCGTCCGTGGACAGACCTCAGCTTCTGGATGGCATTGACCATTGGTTCTTGAAGTGGATTTCCTTTAATGATATAGACTGACAGCTACCAGTGTAATAAGGATTTTGCTCTCAGGTAGTTGAGTAAAGATATACAGAATCTTTTGGCTATTTCTTCTAAAGAATAGAGACAAATGACCAGGTGGTGCATAAGCTTGTAAAAGATGGCTAAGATAAGCATTGAACTTGTGAATCATGATCTTTGCCTCTGATATTCTTCAACATTTGATCTGAAAAAATCTCTCTGATGGAAACAAGGCCTTCTTGAAATTTAGCACCAGTATATAAAACAGATTGATCACATTTGTACTGAATGCTGGGCTTGTGACAAAGAAAAGGAACTTTTAGTAGCCACATCATCTGTAGAACACTTCAGAGATCACCACATCTCAGAGACTTTGCAATCACAAACAAATGTCTTGAGCCACTTCAGATCTAGCAGTAGACAGAACTTGCCCACTTTCTGGTGCTACAAAGCACTACGGATAAATCTGTTGAAGTCTGGCTAAACCATTAATGGTCCAAAATGGTTTTAAAATTATTCCATACATAGTATTATCACCTTGAGCATAGCTAGAAGATTTCTGTATGTATTTAGCCATTGGCTCCCCTTTGGGACTTTGGACAATAGTCCACATCAGATATTCTTATATATACCTGGCCGTTCTGAATCCGTTCTCTCCGAATCTGGGTAGCAGGCTCACAACTAAGACTCCAGCAAGAAAAAGGTCAGTCTGATGACTCTAAGACTCAGGCATTAGCTGAAGTGGAGATCTGAAAAGGTACCTCAGAATATTGCCAACCCATTGCATTTTAAATTCTCTTTGGGAGGTTATGCAACAGTACTGTTTCTACTTGTAGGAAATATAATGAAGAGCCATTAACAATGCAAAGTAGTATTACCAGTACCAAGTTCTCCCTCTACCCTCCATAGCTGAGCAGAATAGACCTGATCAACCAAATAATACATCTGACTAATTTAGCAATATTTTTGAATATACAATTTGACAATAAAAATATTCATCCATTTCTAGCATACAGACTAAGCCTACCATGGAAAGAGCATTTTAAGGTCCAAAGAACCAGTTCATCAGGTTATATAAGGGAAGGGGCTAAGTGGAGAACTTGGTGAATGTTCTCCAAATGTAGCGCTCAAATCTCTGAACTGAATTAAATAGATCAGCTTCATCCAGGGAAGAGGCTGGTTGGGCAAAATAACATTGCATGTTGCTTGACCTGAGACACTTCAAAGGGAATTTTCAAAAAGTGCTGAGTGCTCACCCTCTGAAAATCGGGCCTCCATTTTAGTGACTTAAATTGGGCACCCAAAATCTGACACATGCAGAATCACTAATCACTTTGGAAAATCTTGGCCTTAGTCTTTCTTTAAAACATCACACACACACACACACAGAATTGCTGCTAGAAAATGAGCTATTAGGTGAAATAGTGTTCAAAGAAGCACTTGATAGGAGACCCACTGCACTGTGTATTGCTGTCTTTGGACATGGAAGCCAACTGATGGATTATAAATTATATCATCATCATCAGTTTCTGACTGGGTTTGCATACACAGCAATACTATTCTGCCTTGGCAGTGGACAGTTTTGAAATGATTGCTGGCAATACAGTTAAGAGAAAGCTACTGCCTTTCCAACACTAACAGATTAAAATTAAAGTTTATTTCAAGCAATCATGAGAAAATCAGACTCCTAACTGACTAAGAAACATAGAAAAACATTTTTAAAAAGATTACAGCTACTGCAAATCATGTTTGTGCTACTGTATTTGAACTCTCCATTTAGATTTCACCCCAACCCTTTATTTACCTTGAATCCCCAAAGGACTAATATTGCCTCTCAATGCTGGCACATGATGGTACTGGTGTGGCCTTGAACTCCTGTACATCCAGTGGTACCTGCCAATTTCCATTTCTGGTCTGGTGATCACTGCCAATTTTAGGTGGTAAAATGTCAGTGTCTCCAGCAAACAAAAATTTGTTCAATACTTTTATTCATTTAATTTTAAAATTAAGTGGAGAGTCCAGAAAAATATGCTGAGGTTTAATAACTGAAATATAACCAATTTGTACCAACCAACAGGAGGAAAATCAACAGGATATGCTGTTAAAGTTATGAGCTAAAGACCATTACTGACACAAGAATGTTTAAAACTCCTCTCGGTTCTTGAATGAACATAAATACATATTAAAACGTTCTAGTCTGTTGTGGTCTCTGATCATCAAAACTCACTTACCTCACACCAACCCCCTTCTCTTTTCTGGAAAACAGTCCCTTCTCTAAGAGATAGGGCGGAAAGGGAAACAGAATTGTGGGAAACCAAATATCTATTTTTAGAGTATCCTAAACCCAGCAGAGTTAGATAATTACCACCAGATGTAGAGAGAGAGAGACTCAAACACAAATTTGTCCAGTGGCGCAAAGTTAACTTCTTAAAACAAATAGATGAGAAAAGCTGCTCTCACACTGGTGCAAATTTCGACCAGCTCTATTGATTTCAGCAGAGTTACTCCAGTTTTACAATGTACATGCAAGGAGAATTCGACTCATTATTGTTCTCTCCCCCCCAGACCTCTCTCAATTGTTGATAAATTTCAGTAGTGTTATGTCATTTCCAGTCATATGTAATGGTCTGTAATTCGTTGGGAGAGTACTTCAAAGCTTTACTGCTCCTGAGCATTCCAGAAAGAGGCTATTGGCAAAACAGCATCAAACTTCTTTTGGATCGACATTTTTTCACCTTGCCTTGGTTATGAATTGCCAGGCTGTCAATGCAAGATGGATCATTTTTTAAAATACACTGGAAGTTCCACTCTGTAGTAGCTACATGAACAAGTAACTGTCATCTTTGTCCAAAATAAATCTTATTTAGCAGCATTTCAGCAGGTAGATGAGATATAGTTTAGGACATTACAAACAATTACTTTCCAAGTAGGTCAGAGAAGCAGGTTACTAGAAAGATAAGGTACCACAAATTTCTAGTCTAAAAACAGAAGTATATGGTGTGATTCTCCTCTCACATTGTTTTTATACAGGTGTAACTCCACTAACTTCAGTACGGTTACACGAGTGTAAATCAGGAGTGAGAGGAGAATCTGTTCCTAGGAGTCCAGTGATCTGTATCTAGGAGGATGGAAACAAGAAATTATATACATATTGTATTAATGAATAATCTGTTGGTAGTATTACTACCTGCTGCAAAAGAAAAAGAGTGTCCTTGGGAGCAATACCAAGTTAATTCTTTAATGAATGCTTAGTAGTTTATTTCCTCTTGATCATTTCCTTCTCTTTGTAATTTGTGCCAACAGCTTTATATATAGCCCATATTTTTCATGAAAGAAGTTATTCTGCTTCACATATTTTATTCTTCTACTTGGGGAAACCTTCCCCATTCCCCATCCTAAAAAAAAAAAAAAAAAACCAACAGAAGTTCGACAGCCTACATATTCAACTACTTTTCAAATGTTTTCTAGTGCATCTTCCTAAAATGATTACGTATCCAAAGACAATGTCTCCTGCAATGACTTCCTCTTCTCCTGTTGCTCATTCAATAACAATCCTGTTTATGAGATCACAATAGATGCCATAGTAATTGAATGCAATATCAAAAATAGAAAATGATGGCAGAATGCACTTGCTGATACTGTATAGTACTATTCATTGTTTCTCATATACTTGCCTTCCTCAAACATGCAATGTTCAGTTATTATTGTTTTCCATTTCTCTAATGTACATAAAACCACTTTTTTTTTAAATAAAAGATTACTAATTACTTTTTGGAGAAGAAAATGATATTAAATTAGAATGTGCTTTAAGAGGAAGCATTTTTCATCACAAAGGAGAACTTAAATTCAAATACTTACTCAAAGACATTTAAGATGCCAGAATACTAATATAATTCTAATATAAACTAATATAAATAAAAATAAATGGAAAGGCTTTTATCTTGTCAGACGTGAGGTCAGAGTTCTGGAGTCCTCTTACTCTACCACAGATGCCAGTTGGATCACTAGTTCTTGCTGGAGAAACACTGAATCCTAAAATCATGAGCTGGCAGGTAAGTATAAGGACTGACTTTTAAACATCCTCTTATTTATTTTTAATAGCAATGGTCAAAACTTTGCCTTTATTTTATTTTTTAATGAAAAGGCATTTTGGAAACTAAAATTTTCATGGAAATTGTGCAACTTTCTGGTTTCATGACAAAGCCTAAGAATTTGTAACTAAAATATTTCTAAATTTCTAGGAGAAATTCCAAAATTTGTTATTTCTTTTCATCGAAAGTATTTTCATAAGAAATCTCACAGACTTTAGTCTGAGCAATAACGGCCTCCATAAAGTATGGCAGAACTAGGCCTTAACTCTCCGTGTTTTGGTCATGATTTAGTATATTAAATAGCACTGAATATTTATTTCAAAAGTATTTCAGTTCACTTTTAAGGGAGAAAATTATAATTCAGTGGAAGTTGCACTTTTAGGATTACTTTAGGTTACTGTTTAGGTACAATGATCAGCTATAGCTGGATATCCTTTTTAGAATTTGTATGTCATTCTGAACATTTATTTACATAGTTTATGTATGTCGTCGCACAAATAGCAGCTACAGGTGCTCTAATTTACAATTCACACAACTATATACATCTATGGTAGTTACTGGGTCAAAAATCTACATTTCTTTGTTGTTTATACATCAATGAAAGAACCATCTGTGGTCTTCTAATAAAAATGTGTGTGGAAGATGGGGTGGATGTGGGGGGGAGGGTTAAAATGGGCCAAGTAGTCTTGATATGGAGTAATTAATCACAGAAAATGTAATCTGATTGTTATTTCCTAAAGGAGATTATGAAGAGTCTCCTCAAGGGAAGTGGTGAAAACTCCACCCAACAATTAGCCGGTGACTATAACATTGGGAGCAAGACTAGCCAGGTAACAGGAAGAATTAAGGCTTACTGTAGATGACATAGTTGGTCCTTTTCCACCTTTACTTTGATTCCACGTCAATGCTCTATATGGTGTCATATCGTGCCTATTGTGCATGTACAGTGCAATCTGGAAATCTTTCTGGTTTTACCATATTCTGTGCCACATATGTCTAAGTCTTCCTTCACATGATCATTTGGGCAAACTACTGGGGATACACTCTTTTTAAGATATTCACTTTTTAGTTAGAAACCAAATCCTATTAATTAAAACCTAAATCACTAGGTTTGACACATTGTTATCCCTATCATACGTAACGGCCAAGATTTTCTAGGCTAGACTCCAAAATGTTTTACTTCTAGATTTATAGTCAGGCACTTCTATTTAACTGGCATTGTATTCAGGAGGGATGAGCACCAACAAATCCCACTGAAGTCAAAGGGAACTTGGGCACCTTTGAAATATGGATTTAGGAGCCTAACAATTGAGGCCTAGCTTTGAAAACTTTGGCTAATAAGTATAATTTGTATAAGAAGATGGGTTAATGTGTTATTCAAACAATCTAAAAAGAAAGAGCATCTCTTCTTTGATGGGCCTCTGCACATTCCCACTTGTGGTGCCTTGATTCCACATGCGGGTATATGCAGAGGCTCATCTTGAAGAATTTAAATTACAGGTAAGTAACCACTTCTTCGAGTGGCCTCAGCATATTCCAATTTGTGGGATCAAGGTACCTGAGCCACAATCTTCATATCCATCAAATGCCTAATGTTTATACAATCAAGGGCTTCCCTCAAAATGAAATTAACCTCTAACATTAATAAGTCAATTATACTTATTGTATGCAGTAATATAGCCGTGTCAGTCCCAGGATATTAGAAGACAAGGGTGGGTGAGGTGATATCTATTATTGAACCAACTTTTGTTGGTGAGAGGCACAAGATTTCAAGCTTACACAGCTCTGTAACAATAGGGACTTGCTTTGTGTTAACACACCATAAATATTGAACAAGAAAAGATCCTAACCATTCATCTCCATTTATTGGATAAACAGAAGTTGGTAGAATAAAATATACTACCTCTCCCACCTTCTCTCTCTAATTATACTTATTTATTTTGGTTTTAAACTACACACATTTTGCAAATTCACACTTTTTAAAAAATTGGTATAAAAATGTTATAAAAATTGACATGTAATTGTATTGTTTTAGGCTAATACATAATCATGCATAACGAAACTCTTTGTTTGAAATCTCTCACAGCAATTCCTAATTATGAACTTCATTTTCACTGATTAAGTGCTCCCTTCTAACCTACAATCAAAATGAATTTCCAGCACAACGGCTCAGATTTTTCCATCTACTTTTATAATACAGCATATAAAATTGGAGCTTTTTATGCATTAGTCTAATACAATAAAACTATTTCTCAGTAGTTGCTTTTCTACCAGACCTTCATGCCTAATTTATTATGGTCAGTCACAGCAATTTTTTGGCACTTTTACAACTTAAGAGTAATATTTTTCTTTGTTGCATGAAAAAAGCAAACTTCTTGTCTCTCTCAATATGTATCTGGATGTATTTCCTCCACTGCTGATGCAAAACGGCATTTCATTTTGCCCGTTTATTCCAGCTCAGTGAATCTGCCTACCCAGTCCTCACATTTTGATTTAATTTAATGCCTACAAGATAAACTCTGTCATTTGTAATAATTTGTAAACCCTCATCTTTAAGTTCATTCAGTCTGTTCTGTAGCTCTGTAAAAGATCTACTCAACATTTACATGAGCTCTGCTCATGGTGTTTCTCTCTGATAAGAGCTGCTGATATGCAGACTAAGCAATACTTATTTCCTATCTCTGTGAACAAGGGCGTTGTTCAGCTTCCAATTAAAAAATCAGGGCAGCAGTAATTCTTGTCTAGCTTGAGAGAAACAGCTGTGTGAAGGATGTTGCAAATCCAACAGTTGGACTATGCATCATTGCCTGAAGGGGGAATACTTTTATGATTTAATATGAACCCTGAATTATTTTACTTGCAATTTTAGAATGTGTTTGTAACATAAGAAAGATGTAATTTGCACAGTCGTTCCCAAATAACTAAATATTTTTAAACACTTTGGGGCAGATCCTCAGCTGGTGTAAATTGTTGTAGCTGCACTAAAGTCAATGGAACTATTGCTGTTTACACCAGCTAAGCATCTGCCCCTTTGTATTTACCATAGTTTGAACTGCACGTAGGCTGTATCACTATTCAGTTGCATACATGTGTAGATACTGTAAGTAAACTACACCTTCACTTGTTGTCCTACACTGTTATACAATGTTATTGTGCAACGTTTTCTACAGAGGCGGGGTGGCTGAAGTATACTATATGTATAGCGTCCTCTCTCACCTCACTGAGGTGCTGATTCTACATAAGTTAAAGTTAATAAATGTTTGTATTGCTATTGTTTTTGTAAATGCACTTTGAGATCCTTTGATTTAAAAATCCATAGAAATTTAGACCATTAATAGTGAAAATGGACATTTTTCCTATTGTGTTATATATACACACTTCAAATTAAACATGTTTGTTTTCTCCACAGTTTGTGTGTACGCACATGATACTGTACATGAACTTGGATATCTAAATGGAGATGAATGGCTAGGATCTTTTCTTGTTCAATATTTATGGTGTGTTAACACAATCACAGTTCCTATTGTTAAAGAGCAATAAGGAATAAAAACAAACCCCATGACCTCTGGCTTATTTTATTTCATTTAAGTTGGCAATTTATTTCTGAAAGTAAGGTTTTGTAAAAAAAAAATTGTGATATTTGAAAAGAAAATATTGAAGGGTATTCACATGCTCGAGATCTCAGAATCTAAGACCTCCAGTTTTCGGCACTGGAGTAAATGGCCAGATATTCCAAAAGGCTCAGTTCCTATTTAGGCACCAAAATGAAATTGCAGGATTTTCAAGAGTACCCAGCATGTTCTCAGCACAGTTGCCAACTTTCACATAGTAAATAAGCACCCCGACTTTCACCATAAACCAAAAATCAAGCTAATCTCATTTCAAAACAAGGCCAAAACAAGCCAATCCCTAAGAACCCCAACACTCTATGTGACTAGATCCCCCCGGCGTGCAGTCTGGGACTGTGGTGGGCCCGCTGTGCACCCCTGACTCTCTCTCCCTTTGCCCCTGCTTGTCCCCCCCCCCCCAACCCAAAAAAACCCACACACTTGCCCCTGCTTGCCGGGAACCGATAAAAAAAAAAAAAGAAGCAACAAGCTACAACAAGCAACAAGCTACAAGCCAATCAAGCAACTCTCAAGCCATTTAAGCTTGCAACGAGCTAAATTTCTGCGTTTTTTCCCCCACGGGTTTGGTATGTCTGGTTCTCAGTGTGAGCTACCGGGTGCCGGGCTCTTATGAAAATCCTGCCTCTTCATTTAGGTGCCTAAATAACAGCTGAGCCATCTGACAATCTGGCCCCAAAATCTCAAAACAAAACTTAATGCCCTTCCTCACTGAGTACTTGTTGAAAGGAATAAGCAAGTTGATCTGGATGATTATTTTATTTCATTGTTTAAATTGAGACAAGGCAACCAGTTCTACTCTTCATATTTTATTGCCATGCATAGTATACGGTTTACATTTATGAAAGGCAATGTTGGACTGAATGAAGATACAACTTCACAGTGTCTGCAAGGCTGTATGTTACTTTCATAAATGATGAAGTAGGCAAGAACAACAAAGGCATAAAAATACTAAATGCATTTAAATATCATGTTCAATGTGTCAAACTAGCTACAGGAAAGCTAGGAAACAGTGGAAAAATTAAGGCTCCAAGTCCCTTCTGCTTGCCCCTTTATGAAAACAAGACAATCTGTCCTTCGTCGTGCAAGACAGTCTGTCATTCGTCATATCAGCCTTAACTGATAATTTGTTTAAAAGAATGAACATTCCCTACATGCTGTGCTTTGGGGATTTAGGCAAGGATGAAAAATATTATCTAATCATTACTGGGTCTGCAAGGTACGTAATTTGTGATGCACAATATATGGAAATAACATTTTTAGAGTTGGTAAATATTATATATACACCGAGACTATTTAAAATATATATATTATTTACCTGGTGGAAAGGAAAACTTTAGACCTTTTAAAAATAATCTAAGTGAATGAGATGGCTATTTTTATCAAAGTATTTAGGATATATACTTTGTACATTAATATGCATTCAAAATCCCCAGCGAAGTTGATTGCTGCCCATGCATGTTAATGGCTTTCAAAGTTTAATCTCTCGGCATTGTAACTCTTTTTTGGAAAATCCCTAGGGGATTATGTTTTCTATGGTCTAATCACTTGCCAAATTTCATTTTGTTGAAACGGAGGCTGGTTTCGAATTAGACGGACTAGAAAAGAAAAACAAAACTTCAAACCAAGGAAACAAATGATTTTTCAATGTATATATGTATATAATTAAATGCTTGTTTGTATTAAAACCCACTAAAATCTAGGGATATAAAGTAGCAGTTGAAGCAGTTGTGATATTATAATAGCTAAGAAATAATACATGCAACAGGTTCCTGAGGAGATCTCATTATCTAGGTACTGTCAAGAGTTCATAACAAACAACTTTAATAAGATAATTTTTGTTAGAGCTGTATCACTCAGCAGAATTTATTGTGCCTCTTTGTACGATAGCCTGCTATCCTGAACGGCATGAATTATATGGCAGTCTGAGTCCAAAATGTAACAGTCCTTCAGTGGTGGTATTTATCCTGTGAAGTGCTGAACTTTAGATCAATAAATCACCTGGAGCACTCAGATTAAATTAAGTCTCTCTCCTACCACACTGCCATTTTCTTATCTCAGAATAATAAATTTGGAACTCTTCTCCCCATCAAGGAGCAATTCTGGATTACACACACACACACACACACACTGGGACCTCAACGTTGCTTAACTCATTGCACTATTCTCCTTTTTCCTACCATAGAGAAACCTCTGTAGAAACAAAACTCTATGGAGTAAAATGTAGACGATGAAAAGGAATTAAAATCAGTCTGCTATCTGGCACCAATCTATTGCATCAAGGCAGCTAGGGATGTCATTCTAAACGGGCAGAAAGCTACATGTTCCTGTAACCTAGATCTCCCACATTGCATTGCACAACACTAAAGCACTGCTACATGGCTAGTCTCAGTGAAATTTTCTGATTATGGCTCTGAGGACCCTACACACATTTTCTCTCTAATTTACCAAAACTGATCAAAGAAGGAGCAATAACAAGGCTTCTTTTGCAGAAACACACCATTTTTGATGGGATTGGAGAAGGTTCACAGCGAGAACATATTCAGAGGGAAAGATTCCTGCTCTATTAATTTGCTGTCAAGCCTTACAGGAAAAAAAAAACCCTGAAAGCTAGAAAGATGCAATAATGATTGTTTAAGAGCTGTTCTAAAAAGAGTGACAAAAACGGTCTAACCCTCTTTAAGTACCCTCAATGAAAAGATTTAAACAGGCTATTGTTAGACCTCTGGGTACCTTTTTTCTCTTGGCTTTGTTCTGTATTTTCCTCCGCTGCAGTTTCCATGGCTGGCTTCATACCATCCACCAAAAATGCTTTCTCCCCCCTCCTCCCAGCAAAATCTTTTTCTCTTCTTTCTTTCTTACTCCCTTCTGTCTCTTATTTACAGCAGCAGTGATTGAGTGGCTCTGTTCTTCACTACAGTAGATTACAGTCCTTTCCAAAATGCAAAAAGTCTTGTCAGCTTCAATTTCGCTCTGCTTACTGGTCCATAAAGATTTGTGCCAGGAAACGCTCAGCCATACGTCACCAAGGACCCCAGTTACAAATAGCCATTCTGTGTCCGATTGTGTCCCAACTTCTATGTAGCTGGGGTTGGAAGAATCAGCTAACCACCCTTTCTCCTTGCGTGCTCTCTCTTTCCCCTTCCCTCTCTTTCTCCAGAGGCTCCCAATGAATGTTAATCAATTCTCTCAGCAAAGAATGGATTTGTGACATCAGAAGTGGGGATGCATGTGAGAATGAAAGAAGCCCCCTCCTGTCGCATGACTCAGCTATGAAACTAGCCCCCCTATTGCTGTCTCTAAGGAGAGTCATCACACAATCACAAGGCTCTCTTTCCCATGGGACCCTATTATTATGCTTCACATTTTGATTTATTCCATATGCCCTCTGCTCTTGCAGAGAACATAAACACAATGTGCATGCCGCCTCCAGTTTATCTTCTGCTGACTTTAAGAAGCAAGTAAGGTTTGGCTCTCATACAGCACAAACCAAAGGAAAACAAACAATTGTGTATGGATGTATCTGTGTCCACATAACATACCCAGAGAGCTTAAAGCAGAATTTAAAATCCTTTCCTTCTCCTCTGGCTAGCAAAGATCACAATACAAATGTGACCACAAACGAACAGAAGTACAATGTAATAGTTTTTAAAATAAAGCTGGGTAAGCAAGCATACAGTCCCTAATTTTCAAATGGGCGCTTAACGTCAGGTCCTGATTCAGGGGAACAACCCTTTTCAGGGAAGAAATTAAGCACATGCTTAGCGTGAAGCATGTGCTTAAGCACCATCCTGAAAAGGGATGGACCTAAGTGCATTTTAAAGTGCTTCTCTGAAGCAGTGTCTTAGGCAATTAAAGAAGAGAATTAAAGTACATCCACAGGGATCATGGAGGTCAGTGATTTAACCAATTTCAAAATTTTGGCCCTGGGGCTGATCCTAAAAGGAAATAGGGTATCAACTGACTTTAGTGGTTGCTGAGGGGATTCAACACCATACTTGATAAGTCCCATATCCTTCATGTTCTTTGTATTTAATTGTAGCAAGATGGTGGGCAGAGAAAAGCACTCTGAAGAATTTGCAGACATGCTGCAGTCTCCTTTGATTATGAGGAACACATCCACAATTGGTCAATTCAGTCCACAGTTTGAGAATACTCCTGGATTCCTCACTGACACTAAGCTCTCAATAGCAGCATCTGCAAATAATGCTTTCTACCATCTTCGGTTGATTAAAATACTCTGTCCCTCCTGTGAAGGATGACCTCAGTTCACCACCACTTTATTACCTTCTAACTTGTCTGCAATATACTGGATACGATACCCAAAAGCTGGGTTTTAGGTGAGCTCTGCTGCTCTAGCACAAAGGTACTTTCTACCGCAGCGCTTTCTAGGAGGCTAACCCAAAGCTGTGTAACAAACAATTCTCCTCCTGGGGAGAGGATGACAAAAAGAACAACCCACATTTGACACACGAAAGCACTCAGATGCTATGGTGATGAGGGTGGTGATATTATGCTCAGATACTATGGTGATAAGAACCTAGACAAAAATTTAATTCTGTTCTGTATAATGATCCTTGTAAACGAAGAAAACTTCATTTAAGGGCGTTTTCCCATCTGACATCAGTGAAAACGAAAATACAAGACGATGATGCTAAACGACACACATCTCCAAGTTTCATTGAACTGCCAGAAAATAACAGGTCAAAATGGAAAGGTAGCTATTTGTTTCTGCAAGTAAAATCACTGAGGCTCTTGCAATTTATCAATAAACTGGTAGTGTTTCTGATAATTGTGATGCCATATTTAGTTCAATTTCCTTAATGTATTTGGCTTATACTGTCCTATTTGGAAGACTGCTACTTCATTTCTTCCCCCGCAGAGCATAGCAATAAATCCAAATTGATGCAATTTTAATGGGTTTATGATGTGTGGCATACTTCCCAAGATACAATGATCATCTTTGGGATTTGTTGTTGTTTTTTAATGTTCTGGCTGACCCACTTATCTTTATTGCCTTCAGAAGAAAACCACTGTAGAACCTCCAGTCAATTTAAGTGAGACCTATCTGTTGAAACTTGAAGGTTTCCTGGTTCGTAAGTAGTTTTTGTTGAATGAGTTCAGGACTTTAGAACAGATGTGTTATTAACAAATCTAGCAGGCGGTGGAGACCATCCCCCATTTCTTCCAAAGATCCCCCCTCCTACCCCCAAGTACTGAAGAAATACATAACACTAGAAGAACACATTAACTACTCAAGAACTTGAACTAATGTCTTCAGGAGCCATCAATCTAACTGTTTAAAGCTGTCTAAATTAATTAAATTATTAATTCTAGCTACTGAATCATCCTCTAAAGATTTAAGTGACGCAGCGAAGTGTGAAGTTCTCTCCCACTCCCTCCTGCTTTCCAGCTTGCTGAAAGATGTGATGGGTTTTAAGTCACTCTTTATCATCTTACTTCAGTCATTTCCTAATTCTCCTCCACTTCTTTTCCTTCTTTATCAAGCACTGCAGATGGAACAAGCACTGCTTTCTCCTCTGCTGCCATCAGTACTATTACACACATCTATTACACGCATGTTCAAGATCACTCTAACCAAAACCTAAGCCAAGATCCCAACTCCTCTCAAAATCAGGTAGGTCTTTTTGAGAATGCACTGTCCTCCAGGGAGATTTTATAATATTATTTTTATATAATATAATATAATAATTATAACCTTATGGTTGAATGCAAACACTAGATATCTCCAGCACTGTGGTAAAGGGCACTGTTTCCCGGACAACCACAAAGAATTTTTAGAATGAAGAATCTACTCCTTCCCTCATCAGAACAGTTTTAAAAAGCCTAACAAAAATGATCTCCAGAGACTGAAATCCAGATAACCACAGTCATAAGGACTGATTGAGATAACCAAGCTAGGAGAGTCACACAATTATGCTCCAGGAGTTCAATAGAGTGACATTTTACTTGCAGCTCAAAATGAAATTAAAAATGAGTGGTGGTGGGGGGGAAGGGATGAATGGACGATTCTACTGCTGAAACACAGCCCTAAGCCTACAGCAGGACACTGGGAGTTAAAGCAACAGAGTTAAGTACGTGAGAACACTGCAGAATAGGTCCCAGTGGATAATCAGTTAGTACAAAATATAACTGCCTATTTTTTTGAACTAATTTATTTAAAAATATCTGAAATTAGTTTTCCTCGTCAAAATAAAGCATTGCAATTACATAAATTAAAAATGTTAAATATATTTAAATATATTATATAAATATAAATAACTATATTTAAAGAAAGATATGTAAGTATATTAAAAACATAATTCTTTAGCAGGTGCCTATTCTTTTTGAACACTGGCTGCCTCTATTCATGTCAGTGACAATCTAGTTTGTATTCATAAAGGATAAGGAGATCTGTGATAAGTTATAGAAAATTCATTATAAGCTTTAAGTAGATGGACACACTCCACCATTTCGACAAAGGCTTTCGAGAGCTACAACAAAGAGAATTTTCACACTTTTCCCAAAGAACGTTTGAAGCTGAAATAACCAGTTTGGATTTTTGAAGGCTAAATCCTGAGACTCTGTATCACACAGGATTGCAATATATATCCAAAGTGGCTGGTTTTAAAGTAAGCAGATAATACAAGCATACATTTTTTTAAAAGAAAGAACAAATATACATGCAGTTTATCCTATGGTTTTATTTGGGGTTTCGCTTGACATATAAACCATAGATGTGAAGTTTCAAAAACCTAAATTTCATCCAAACCCTGTACACGTTTTTAACCCCAAGTTATCTAAAGTTGGGTGTAAACTCTCTGATATAGTGTTTAGTTATAACTGACGACAATTTTCATGTGGTGCGATATGTTCAAAGACGGTAATTAGTTTTAGCTTCATAGCTATCATATACTGGTGAGATGCTTTAAAAATCTGCCTCCAATTCCTTTGACATGCTGAACTGTCTGAAAAACAAAATTCCAAGTGATATAATTGTCTCATATTTGCTAACTAGTGACATCAGTAATGAATTATTATGAGGAAAATAATAAAATTGTATTTTAATACTCTACATAACATGCAGAATACTTGAAAATGTGTGTGTGTGTATTATATCTCTATATAAAATTACTGAGTCTCCAATCCTGGACTTCTGTGAATAGAGCAGTATTGGGACCTAAGTTTGGACAATAGGTATCCTAGGGTAATAAGGGACTAGCTGGTGAATTTAGCTCATCACGATAAAAATTCTCAACTATTTAAAAAAGTCTGAGAAGTAGGCAGATACCCAATGACTGTTCATAAACAAGAGTGATCCTGGTAAATTCTATTTCTCATAAAATAGTGAGAGAAATCAGTCCTTAAACATCTTGGGCCAAATCCTACTGCTCTTACTTATCAGAGTAGTTTCAATAAAATTCCCATTACACTTAAATGCCATAATTTTTTAAACCTAGGCGTCTACAGTTCACTCCTATATCCATATTTAGTCTCTTACATGTAACAGTCCTGATTTTCAAAGGCCACATTTTTGAGATGGCTAAATATATATTTAGGAGCCAAAAGGAGAGGAAAGCCAAAGACTCCATGAAGCCACTAAGGATTAGCTGTTGTTACTGATTTTATACCTGGATGCTAATGTGATGGGTAGCAGTATAAAACCCTAAGATTTAGACACCCAGATTTGAAAATTTTGGCCAATGGGACTACTTCCATGGGGAAAGCCAGCAGGATTTGGCCACTACAGATAAGAGAACCATAACCAATAAGTAGTATGGATTCAGAAAGTTTGGGTACCACCTAACCTAATTGCTTTCTTAATCATATTACAAATCTGTGGACAAAGTAAAGCAGTAGATTTAATATATTTGTATTTTACTATGGTTAAGCCTTTGGTACAGAGCCTCACAAAACCCTATTCTCAAAATGGAGTCAAAATGGCTTGAATATAAACACTACCAGTTATCATGAACCTTTGTTGTAGCCACTCAGACTGTTTCCTCATGCCAAAGTA